TCCTCCTCCTCCTCCTCCTCCTCCTCCTCTCCCTTTAGCGAACATCGACTCAACTCGAGCCGTTGCGCGCTCGACACAGCACCTGCGCCATTATCCTCCTCCTCCTCCTCTCGCGTCTCGCTTCGGCTGACAGAAAGCGCTTCAGCAAGCGACGCACTTGCTCGAAGCGCGCCGCAGTTGGCAGCAGATCTCTGGCAATCGACAGCGACAGGGCGCAAAAGCTTCGATCTGCGCGCATCTCGTGCTGCAGGAGGCTCTTCGGACGAGCAGAAGAAAGAGGCGGCAGCCTGCTTTGTGCGTGGCAGTGGCAGTGGCGAAGAGCTGGCTTGTGGAGCTTGTGCGGATGATGTGGTGCATCTGCATCTGCATCTGCCATTGGAATGCGCGCTCCTCTTCTGCGAGATGGGCGGCGCTGCTTCCATCAACGATGCACACGACTTTGTCATCTCTACCCCTTCGCAGCATCCCGAGGCTCGTCCGTCAGATGCCTTGGCAGAGACGCGCGGCGCCACCTCTCTGCGCAACTCTGACCGATCGATCAGCTGCGAGGCTTTGACAAAGGCGCTAGAGGCTGCTGCTCTCGCACTGGTAGCGCGTGAAGGCGTGTGCGGGCGCGAAGAAGGACTAGCATGAGGCGAAGAAGAAGAGATGAGGTCTACGTTGGACCTGGTGTTGGATGAATGCAGAGGCTGCTGCAAATCGTCGTCGAGTGGGAAATGGCGGGAAGAAGAAGCAGAAGTGACTCTGGCGACCAGCAGCGAAGAAGCGGATGGCGACGGGGCAGGTAGAGGGAGGGATGAAGACTTGACAGACTGCGACGCGTCATGGGCAGATGTTTGGCTCACAATGTGCGCTCTCGACATGTCGTGTATGCGCCAGCTGGCGTCATGAGGATTGTGTGCGAGTTTGCGACGTTGATGAGGTCTGCTGCACGGAGAGCTGTCTTGGCTCGCCTCTGGGGGGGAGAGGGAAAATGTAAGGCTCTTGACTGGACTTTGCTGCACACGCGGCGGCGGCGGCGGCGGCAGCGCCTGGACCGAGGGAGCACGAGCACCAGGACGAGAGCGACTAGTCAGAGTCTTTGTTGCCTCCTTTTGCGCACGGCTGTTGAGCACCTCTGGCCGACTGACAAAGCGCCCATTGGAGCGCGGCGCGATGCGTGCAGAGGGATGAGGTTGAGGCGGAATTTGAGTTGCGCATGTGCTGGCTACAGCGTCAACAAGGGTGTTGTCGGATGGAGGAGCAGCGCGGGTGCAAGCGATCAATTGGAATCCAGGACTTGATCCATCCGATGCGCTCATGCTTGCGTGCCCTGCTCCTGCTCCTGCTCCTGCTCCTGCTCGAGAGCGACGAGAATGATGATG